TACTAATTTAACTATTACGAGATATAAGTTTTTAGTTTTATCCACTAACTTGCATATGTATGTACATGGACGAGCTGTACTTTCTACACTGATTTCCGAGCAAAATTAAATTAAAAATCGTAATAGTTGAGAGAGTAAATTTTACATATATGCGTTAATGTCGCTATTCTAGGTACAATTCTCAAAAACTACGGGTTGGATACGGTATGACAGCGTGAAATTTGTCTGATGAATTAAAAAACGCGTTACAAGACGACGAAGAGGGTTTAGGCAATTTTGATTCTCTTATGCGATTCCCTAAGCATTCGACAATATTCGCGATGGATAGACTTAAAACTCGTCGAATGCCTTGATATCGAAAAAAAAAAAAAAATACGAGTGGATAAGTATTTTTCGAAAAAAAAGTACTAAAATTTCAAACGTTGCCGTGATACTCTGGACTGGGCCTTGTAATTTTACATTCGACCTCGCGTTAATCGATTAATACATATATTAAGTCAACGAAATTAAAAATTAAGTCAACGAAATGTTGAGGGAATCGCAATAAAGTAATGCATCCAATGTATATGTGTAAAACACAAATACATATAAATATATATAAATATATAAATATTTCGCTCCGATATGTTTGTAAATATTCCATAGACTAGAAGTTGTAAATAGTTCAAAAGAATTTTTATACGTTATTATGGAAATCTAGACCACAGAATACTATACGATAAAAGATTGATGAAAGAAAAAAATAAGAATTTTAACAAAAAGTCGTGTTATGTACTGTAAAATTGTGGAAAACAAAGTGTGAGAGAAAAATGAGCTATGACACGGAAACTACTCGCAATATGAACATTTTTCATTTTATAAAAATCCTGTGTGACGAACGCAGCCTGTAAACCACTCAATCGTTTTGCATTTTATTAAGGAAGCATTTGCACTTTTTTTACGATGAAATTTCGAAATTCTTGAATTGAGTGCTTCATTTTCATACTTGACTGTTCATCGTGCCATTTTTATTTACTCTCAAATTTGTATATACTTCATGATAATGCGTATTCGACAAAAAAAAAAAAAAAAAAAAAAGAAAAGTGCAAAATATTAAATATTCATATTAACGTCCAGTTAAAAAAAATCGACAAAATTTTACATAAAATTCATATAATTGTTGGTCCTCCATGCGTTATTAAAAATTCGAAAATGGTTGAAATTTCCAAAAACTACACTGATTTTTCGAAATATCTCAAGTCTTACTCTTTATACATTGACAAAATCTCCCCTTTGATTTCCAACGGAGAAGATAAATAATCTTGACAATGATTCTTTGACCACCAAAGTTGAAGCGTGTTGATTAAGTGTTTCTTTTCGCCATGGATAAAATAAGATCTGTTTTTTCCTTTTTTTAATGTTGCATTACGAAATATCATAAAAACCAACAGGAAAATTCGTTCAACCATGAATTTGAAAACATAGACGAAAAATTGGTTTTTAAACAATTGATAATATAAAATTCGTATTTCTTTTAAAGTCTTGCAAATTAAACGGAAAAAATAACAAATCGTCTGTAAATAGTTACTTTCATTAGGGACTGATACATGAAAAAGTGCGCTTTCTCGACAATGCTTTTCAGGAACCTGCTATGTTAGACCAAGAAAAACGTAGCTAACAGAAGGTCCCTCAGAATCTGAGAAATTGAAAAGAAAATTTAATTACGGTTTTCCTCGCGGCATTTGTGATATATACGTATTGGTAATTGATAAGCATTAAAATTCGTAAAGCGGAAGGGAAGATTAATTTGGTCCGTGTAAAAGATGAACATAATCATTATAATTATGAGATGAGAGAAACAATGAAAAAACTATGTTTAATTTGTAAATGTTGAACTATTTTGCATCTGCACTAACGCCATCCTCTTTACCCTGACTATCGAACTAATTCACTTTTTCAGAAAAAATTCCTTCTTTTAAAGAAAAATATCGGTGAATTTCAGTCTTGAACTACATTATAGATGAATATATATGATAAATATAAATATATTTTGTATCTTTAAATTGTATATGAAATGAACATGCATATAATGATATAAATGGCAACAATATTGTATAGTATTGAAATACATGAACGATGCTTTTAAACATTTACTGTCTAATATCTTTTTTGTATACCACTTAATTATTTTTGAAAAATTAATTTTGTTTAAACTTGTCACTAGTAATTGATGTGTATTGCTTTTGTTTTTATTGTTCATTTTTAAAAAATTTTGTTATCTATTTCTCTTCCCACTCTCCAGTCTCGTTTTCGTATAATTTTTTATTTGACTTTGTTTTATTTGTCATTGTATTTTATTTTTGTTCACTGCTGCTGCTGCTCTGTGTGCTTTTTAGAAAAACTTGTTGCTATTTCATACGTATATATTAGTCATTTGCACTTTTTTTAAAAAAGCGCGAAATTAAAAAAAAAAAATTCAAGCTCCCTTAATCATTTCAACTCCCTTTTAGCGTTATTAATGTTATTTTTGCTACCTGCCTAAATGTGTAAACGTTTTAAATAACTGTTAGCAGCTTAAACGTAACCAAATTAATTTATTTTTTATGTTCTGTGATGAATATTTTTATATCTTAGTTTTAAAAAGGTTGAATAACTTTTTTCATATATTTGTACATATCAAATCGTGCATTATTCTTAAAAGAGGATACTGTTAAGTTTTTAATTTGTTAGAAAAAAAAACTAATAAAATTACAAAATTAGGTCAAAGGTCTAAATTTATTTAAGCACCTTTTTTCGAATTCCCAAGAACTTTAGTTTGCAAAAAAAATTCATTGATAATTTGATAATCAAGAACTCAATTACAATTTTTGCCTTAAGTTTCATTTATTTTAATGTAAGAAAAAAAGTTTATTCTATCAATTAAACAATACATTTGCTTGTATATTGTAACTATATAAGCTCAACAGTTTTTTAAAATGTTTTCATTTTGCCAGTATTCATGTGTATAGTTATTAAAAAGAAAAAATAATTGATTGTACTTAGCTTGCAAGCGTGGGTTTTTATTCAAAATTGCGAATATTTACAATTATTTATCATGTTAATTATCAATTATTAATTATTTAATACGAATGTCGATCGATTTTATCCTGTTTTTCTTAGCAGTTACCTTATTATTTTATTATGATGTATCTGTAGAGCAGAACGAAATTCGAAGAAGTCAACACGAACAAGAGACTTCGACCGCGACTTTTTGTTTATGAAGACCGAGAAACTGCCTTCGCCTTTCCAGTCACGTCTTTTCCACAGCCTTCCAAAGAATGACCCTGCGATATCCTCATGATCCGCTTCCTCCTGCCCTTATTGGTAACTAACTTGATTGCGCCTTACATCGTTTACGTATAATTTTAATTTTATGTTGAAAATTGTCACCATGTCATTTCCTCACATTTGACGAGCGTGAGCTATCAGAACAGCCGTGTGACGTTATTATTATTTTTTACTCTAGTGCGTGTTTTAAATACTTTTGTACATGATTTATTATTATTTTTATTTTATTTATTTTTTTGTTTTTTAATATTTTTATTCGAACAAGACATATTGCCTTGTTGGTTGTAAAATGAATCAAGTGACAAAAAAAATTGATAACTGTTTTAGATCGATGGAAATGGATGGGGCTCGATGGAAAAAGCTCTAGCGGGTCGCAAACGGCTTTATCTTTACCGCAATTCCAGGCATTATAAAAAACTTGCCGCGCTTAAAAGCTCAAAGGAATCAGCTGGAGCTGCGAATTCTGAAAAAATGACTGAGTAAGCATATCACGATATCTTATTGAAATTTTTTTTTTTTTTTTTTTTTTTTTTCTTTCTTNAATATATATATAAATAAAAGAGTATGATTTTTTTTTTATTTGTAGCGGTAAACATAAACTTTTTATTAAAAATAACCAGTTATAGCACAATTTCTTTCTCATTCAAACGCTAAAAGCGCATGAAACAGTTATTTTTCCTAATGTATTCATTAATTTGTCAAGTTTAATGTACAAGTAACAAGCGAATCAAACAGGATTGCAACAAATGTTATAAATTTATTTCAACTACTCGAATTATTGTACGATGGTCTTCCTGCCAACTCCAACAGGTATCGATCTGGATGATCCAGCCACTCTGAAGTACTTAATTTCACGACTCTTTGTTTTTCCGCCTCCTTCACTTGCCACTTTTTTATCTCCAACTGTTTTTCTCTGTAAATAAACATTGCATCACGAACACTCGTCTAACAAACCATAACAACGTTCTACAAAAAATATTTAATCATACCTGGATTTGGTGTCACCACAGCCCCAGACCTCAATACTGGATATCCGATAAGGCACACCGGCAAACGTGACTTCGTTAAACGCCTGGTCAATTATAATGCAGGGATTGCGTGGATCAGTACCAGCTCTCAGTCCCTGAGGATAGCCTCGTATACTGGTATTTAAGTACAAAAGTTTACTGCCTTTCTGAATGATCCGGTAGTTGGGTAGCATCTCAATGACCATAGAGTCCTCATTCCCCCAGTAAAGGTGGGATTCCCGCCATTCCACAGCCGAGCATATACAGTAAGTGGGGTAGGTGCTACGTTCGTCGCTGTCGCTAAAGCCGCGTATAAACAGTACCGTCGGACCCTTGTAGCCTAGTACATGATGCAAAAAACGATTAAAACCAGCGCCGTGCTGATTACTGTTGTAAAGTAACGTCCAGTGACGAGGACACACTGTGCCGGACATTTTCGTTATCAGCGCATGCATGCCGTCCTGGTTTTTCGTATTCTCCTCCTCTGTCTGTAAATAGAAATAGACACTTTTTTACATTCATCACGATGTTTAAGGAGAAATAGTTTTGTTTGACATTAATTCATAAACTTGAAAGTACGCATATCATTTTTAAATCGTATCCATCATTCGTTTGAAAACGTATACTTTTTCATGTACTTTTATTACAATCCATAAAAAAGTATGAATTTATCAATGTTTGACAAGATTTTTTATATAATGCTGTTAGTGAGTAACTGTATGAGATTATTCACAACAAACCTATAAATATCTAATCAAGTCTTCGTCTGTGCTTAGTTAATCATCTAGTTGCAAATGTCTCTAATAGATGACTAATTGATTTAACAGCTTTGTACGTCTGACATAGTTACATCATTAATAAGCATTTAAATGACTCGTGGCTCATTTCTTATGCCATCTAATTGACTTTTTTTTTAACGTTCTTCATGTTACAACCCCAGCCATTTCATTGTAATTAGTAATCATGGAGTTAATTGAAAGTAAGAAAATAGGGTTGAATAGTTACCTTAATGTAACAGTTTGGTAGAGTAGAAGACAAAAGCCAAACATGACTGATTGGCAAAAGTGCTTCTGAAAGATCACCATGGTTTGGCTGATCCAAAATAGGCGTTGATGGCACCATGTGAAGTCCAGATTGCTCATTGGACATTAATACTTTACCACTGCGATAAGCAGTTGTTAAAACATGTATGGCATATCTGTGCATGCCATGTACAATACGTGGACAATTTACCGACAGCCAATTACTGATAAAACTTACTGACAGTGTATCTTTGCCATGAAACTAAAATATCAGAAAGAATTTTCAAATATATCATTTGATTTGTTCAATGCCTCTTTTTTGATGTTTAATGATACTAACGCAAGCGGTAACAACAGCAGATATCGTATTAAGTAACTGTGCACAGTAACAACCACCTTTTCCGGCCATGGCTAATCTGTAGGATAACATAAGTAATTCTCTTAGGCCATTTGGAGTAACTTCATTCTCGTTGTTGTCCGAAAACATTTTCACGTAGTTTTCAAGAACTGTTTGGTCATTCATAATGGCTAAGAATTTTTCAGCCTGTTGTTTAAACGCTGATTGACCCAAATGAGCTGTTGTGGCTTTCGAAGAAGCATGCAAATGAGCAAATAATCTGTTAGCGAGCTCGGGATAGTGCGGAAATAAGTACTTTTGAAACACTGTCTTTGTAATGCCATTGACTGCTTCTTCTTTTTGCGAGATTTCCGAAAGAATCTGTACAGAAACGTTAATTATAAAAATAAAAGCGTAAAAAAAATAAACATGGGAATAAAAAGTTTTATTTAATAAATATACTTTAATGTGTTTATCAATTCTTTCGGTGAACGACTGTTGAAAGTTTCTTTATTAAATCTTATTTTAATAAACAGAATGTTAGCGTTAGTTATCGGTGCATCATCTTATATTTATAATGATATGTAAATATAGCTCAAGAAAAGATTTTTTAAGAAAAAACGTGTATTTATTTATTTTTTGCTGACAAGGTAAGTTAACAATGAGATTCAATTCAACGCTTTTTAACGACCTTTCGAGAGATGTACTAACTGATATCAGGTGCATAATCAAAAAAAATTTTATGTGAAACGATCTTTTAAAATGACGAAAGAAGATCTAAACAAAAAGCCAGCGTAAAAACTTCCAAAATATTTTTTCCGTTCTCTCAAAATTTTTTATTCTTATGTTGTTTTATGACGCCTCAAAAGAGCGTTATCGGTAACCGGCAGAAATTCCTTTTCTATAAAATCAAATAATTTTCTTTCATACTTAAGTACTGAATTCATCACAATACTTGAATGTTTATTTGAATGATTACCGCTAATCTCTGCTGAATTCCTGTCCAAAACCGTGGCTCCGGCAGATGAGGATATTACATGGATAGAATGAAATCGATCCAGTTGTTCGACATTTCACAGCCTTTTACCAACATTATTGTCACTTTTTTGGTGATTGGTATTACATAAAAAATGTCCTGCTCTCAACGGCTGAACGAATATGTGTCTTAAATTGGTCAATTTTTGAGCTCTCAAGTACATCAGCCAGATTAATTACACATTAAGCTGTGTTCTAAATGAGTCCTACAGCAAATAAATCATCATCTAAAATTACTCTTTTCGCAAATAATGGGCATAGCATCAGATCTCCATGCCTCGTACAGTCTCGTTCGAATAGAGGCAGAGGACAGAAAACTATTATTTGGAACAAGTATCAAAACAAACGTTAAGCAATAAAAAGTGATGAAGCATTCAATAATACTTTATTAAATGCATTTTACATAAAATATGTAGCGCGATCGCATTTAT